TCAATGTCGTGCTCCACATGCTCAACTCGAGCATCAATAGTATCGAAGCGGTCACCCATGTTCAGCTCCAATTGTTCAAATCTTGCATTCATGCTTTCATTGAGTGTATTGAAGCTGTCTCCAACAAATGTTCGGAGATCGTTTATCCCCCTCATGACGTCATCAAATGAACTAGTTTGTTGTTGAAGACGTGGTTGTGGTTATAGTTGAGGAGGTGGTTGATTTTGATGTTGATGTGGAGGAGGAGAATTTCTGTGAACCCATATGTTGTCAGCATTTTGGGTCAATCCAAATGATTGTATCACTCCTCCTGATATTGTGCAATGCCTACTAGGTGGGAGAGATATTTCATCCTCCAGTGGAACTTCAAAATGTTATAGGATGCGGGTGACCAAAGTTGGATATGGTAAAGGAGCAACTGGCCTCAAAGCCTTCTTCATCCTATGTCGGATGAGATGGGTCTAGTTTATCTGCTTTGTCGTCATTATTATCCACATTATCAGAAGATCTTCCTCGGTTGCCTGTGCAAAGTTAGAAACACGTGGAAACAAAACACGACATATAGCATAATGTAATACTCTAGCCTCAGCTATCGTATTGCTGGCTAGAATTCTAGTGGTAGGAGGATTGTGTGGCAAACAAATTAATTGTCAGGCAACGTCTATATTGTATTCATCGGCCCAATCCTCAAATAATTTTCCCTCAAACTTCAACCCAACAGAGGGAAGGTTGGCTATGGAAGCAAAAATGCTGGGTTTGATAATAATTTGCACATTGTTCACCTCAGTTTTCATTGTTCCATTTTCAGAAAATTTGAGGTTACTATAAAACACACGTACCAAATCAGGATAATAACGCGCAACATCGCAGCAAAATTCATCCAACCCCAAATTTTTTAGTATTCCAAAAAATTCAAAACTATGACTTTCAAAATATTCCTCATCTAGGTATTTTGGCTCAATGATTTGACGGTCTTTATATAGTGAGAAATACCTTTGGGCTAGTGCAGGAGTTGGAAATTGAAGATTTTGGTGTGGAGCAGTCGGTGACAGTCGTGGTGAGGGCGAGGGTGAGTTTTCTACGGGTGAAGGTTGACGGCCATGACGTCCCCCAGCTGTAGAAGATGATCCCCTTAGTCTTTGCGTCTTTGAAGATTCCGCCATTTGAAATTCCAATCGGTGCAAATTGAAGAGAATTGAAAGAGGAGTTGAAAAAAGGTGTTTTGAAGTGAAAATTGTGGAAGAAAAGTTTATTTTTGAGGTTGGAGAGGAGGGGAAACCGTGGAGAGGCGCTGCTACTGGAGTGAGAGTGGTTTGAGTTCGTGAGGAGAGAGAAAAAGGTGAATATATAGGCTAGGGTTGGGCTTGTAATCGATTACGGGGTTTCTATAATCGATTACAAGAGTGCACTGGTAATCGATTACACAAACCCTGTAATCGATTACCAGCGTCTCTGGTAATGGATTACAGCAAATCCTGTAATCACTTACATGGTGTAACTGGTAATCGATTACAGGCTTTCTGTAATCGATTACCAGTGTGTGGAGGATCAAATTTTGATTTATTCTTTGCTTTAGTATTGATTGAATGCATGATATTTTAAAATTGATTTATGTATAAAGTTTTTTTGACACGATGTGCAATAATAACGTCAAAGGATAACACTTTATGATGAAATAAATCTTATTCATTAATTAAGATATTATAGATAAATTACATAATTATAAATAAAGATCGCAAGCAATCTATCTATGTCCTCCAGTCCCACACGTTGGTCTTCGTCGTTGTCGTTGGCCTCGCCTTTGTTGTTGTTGTTGTAGTGTGGGACTCTGCGTGTGTTGGTCTTCATCCGTGGGATGACTTTCATTGGACTGTTGAAGGTTTTGGAAATCATATGTCGGTCGATACATGTTATGTGACGATGAAGCGTGTTGCCATGAAGATGGTGGAGTCATTGTCGAGGTTCCAAAATAATTGGAAGGACCTCCAATAAAAGATGATGTACCTCCACTGAACGATGTTGATGGTGGAAAGGCGAAATAAGAGGTCTCAACCCCAGGATATGTTGATGTCGGTGGGATGTCTTGTTGGAACCTTGAATTCAGAGATGGATGTTAATAGTTGACATGGTCAGAGGCAGACCTTTGTGGATCATGATACGGTGGTGATGCACGGTATGCAGATGGCGGTTGGAACTGTTGTTCGCGGTCCATGTCATACTGCCAAACACAATGTGTGATATGAAGAACGCAAGATAATAAGACTTTCATAATTTAAATGGTGGGAATATTGTACTACCTCTTCGTCGGTTGAATCTTCTATGACAGCAATATAGCGGATTGTATGATTTATATACCATTGCATGTACTCGGATTCATCTCGCAAGTGACCATTTTTTTGGAAAGGAATACCGTTGAATACACGATTATGCCGGTCATTCCATAATGCAATCCACTGTTGATGGTGTTCATGCCAATTCCAATCAGGGCGTCCTCTCATATCCTGTTTATGTTCCTCATCTAGATTCATCGGTGGATGGGGTACATTTTGTCGAAATCCAAATTGACGCATCACACGGTCTGATTATTGGTATTCTACAACAGAGAAACATATCACAGGCACAACTGCCCGACAAGTCGGGGGCACTTCGACTAGAATGATTTGACAAATGTCATCACGTCTGTACGGTGTCCATATAAACTGAAGTATTGAAGTTTTTGGTTATAGTACTAATTAAGCCAAATGTGAACAAAATTTGTAGATATAAATATTAAGTTCATTGGTGAAAAATACCTGTCTAGGTGATAGGTCGTCTAACTTTTGACGAAATTGTTTCACAGTTGTCGTGTCATGGAATATTGACTGTGTTGTGCGACACCATCTTTTCGCCAGTGGAAAAACTGCACCAGAAGATATGTCGTTTTCTGTGATTTCAAGTAATTGTGGTGAAATACATGTTTTTCTTTCCCATGCCCAGCATTGTAACAAGATCATGCACCCTCCTATATTCTCTTGGTCAGCCCTAGTCCCATGATCAAGGGCACGATACAAGTAGGAAAGCACTGCGGATCCCCAACTATACTGTGAAACGTTCTACAGGTCCGCCAAAAGGGGAAGATACATCAAATGCATCATGCTTGCAGATGTATCTGGCATCATGATGCTGCCAATTATCATCAACATATACGCTCTAGCGTATTGTTGAATAACCTGATCGGTGGCATCATGAGGCAAATGGCGAAAAGTGTTATTCAGCCAAGACAACTTTATTCTGTTCCCCCTGACATTGTTCTCAGGAGGAACATCTCGTAGTAGTTGATGACAAAAAACTGTCAGAGGACCACTACTGATGCCAGTGACCACATGTCCTTCAATGGGAAGCTGCAGTTGTAATGCAACGTCTTCCAATCTTATAGTACTTTCACCAAGAGGCAAGTGGAAAGTATGAGTCTAGACTCTCCACCTCTCAACCAAAGAAGTAACTAGATGGTGATTTATTTCCATAATTGATGCTTTCAAAATATGGATAAACCCTGCTGCCTGTAGAATATTCATGATTCTTTCATCAAGTTCGTTAACATGCTTTGATATCCAAATTGCATGTCTTCGAGGGCAAATAACTCGTTCATTGCCTTCCCAAATTGACTTGACAATGTGTTTATCTTGTAGACGTAGAAGGGACATTTCAACAGGAAGTTGACGGGCAGAAGCCATATTGAATTTTCTAGGTGAAACTGGGATATCAAAGCAATGACAAAGGGTTAAGTTCTTTGGCTATTGGAACTCACAATTCAAAAGGGTAGACGGTGGGAGAAATGAAAAGACCCTCCACATATTTAACTACAACCATTGATGCCCAAAGAATCTTCAAAGTCACGTGGTTGAGGACATGGAAATTACAATTCAAACTTTGTAATGAGTGGTCTTCATGAAAGAATCTTCAAACCTGCAAATATTAAAGGGAGGCATGTGATTGAATAGGAGGAGAATAAGACGAATCTTGAAGGTGAAATCTGCACCAAATTTAGGCATGCAAATGAATAGGAAAGTTGAATAGCATGACTAATGTTGGTGGTCAGAGGCTAAGGTGTAGAGTGCATGTGTAGAAGGTAATCACACCTACCACCTAATTTTAATGAATTGCAATAAATATTTTTTCCATAAAATAAAATGTAAAAATATGTAATGAATTTTAATAAATAAAATGTATTTAATGAATTTTATTGAATTGTAAAAATATTTTCCAATATTGAAGATTTTATTAGAGTTAAAAAAATAATTTTTTAAATTGTGAAAATTTTAGAAATAGGATTTTAAATAAAAAAAATGAAAAAAAGGGAAGTTGTGGGGAGGGGGCACGACTTCAATCAGTGAAGTCGTGTACCCCCTACAAGACTTCAACCATTGAAGTCGTGTACGGGGTACACGACTTCACCTATTGAAGTCGTGCCCCCTCCCCACAACTTCCCTTTTTTCATTTTTTTTATTTAAATCCTATTTGTAAATTTTTCCTATTTCAGATTTTAATTATTTATAAACTATATTATTTTTATACATCTAAATACTACATTATTTATTTTTTAACAACAATAAAATAAATTATTTTCTCAATATCTATAAGTAATAAAAATACGTGTCATGAAAAGCTTATGATATCAGACCACACTACAAATGACTTTATACGGAATGAAATAAATGTAATACTATACATACCTTATAATTGCATGGAAGTCTATATACATATATGACAGTGCTATATTGACAGTGTTATATTATTGTTCAGTACTTCTATTTTAGACTGTAACACCCACTTATCAGTACTTCCTATTTTAGACTGTAACAACCCGTTACCAGTTATCAAAAGTAACCTTCCCCTCCCCACAACTTCTATATATATCTATATATCAGTTTTTAACAAATCCATCTTCGCATCCAAACTGCACGCCCAAGAGCTCTCCTTCTACTTCAATCTTACATATTCTCCCAAACATCTATAACATTATGGCATCAAGGAACTTTCCAGCATCTTCATCATCGCAATTCATCGACGAACAACCTTTGATATTAGATAACGTTGATCACTTCAGCACCGATGATGAGTTAGACAACATACTTGAACATGACAACAACGACGACCACATCACACAATCATCTGCACATGTCGTTGCAGAGTTGAATGAACGTATGCAGTTCCAGTCAAAGGACGAAACTATTGCTGCAATCAAACATTATCACATAACCAACGGTTATAAATACAACATCGTTGAATAGAAGCCCAACATTTATGTTATTCGTTGTGTGGAATATCACAACGGTTGTCAATGGCGTTTGATGGCAGCTTATAGCAAAGTCCGTAAATATTGGGAAATCAAAAATATAGACGGACAACATTCGTGTTTCTCAACAATACTATCTGAAGATCATACAAATCTTGATAGTATACTCACATTGCCGCGATCATATCAAATTCAATCCGGACAAACCCATCCATTCCAATCAAGAGTTTGATTGCAGATATTAAAGGTCGATTCTGATATTCTGTGTCATAAAGAAAAGCTTGGATCGCTAAACAAAAGGCTCTTGCTATGGAGTTTGGAGAGTGGGAGGACTCTTATAACCACATGCCGAGGTGGTTGCATGCCGTCAAGGAAGCAAACCCATTTACAATTTTACAATGCACTAGTTCTCCAGTGCAGATTGATGGACAAACCGACAATAATTGCTATATTATGGAAAGAGTTTTCTGGTCTTTCGGTCCTTTCATACAAGGATTCAAATATTGTAAACCCATTCTCCAAGTTGATGGTACATTTCTAACGAGTAAATATCATAGAACTTTGCTGACCGCCATAGCTCAAGATGTCAATAGAAATCTTTTCCCATTGGCCTTTGCCATTGTAGGAGGTGAGACAAAAGAGGCCTTGATATGGTTCTTTCAACTACTTCGAGAACATGTTTGCCATCAACAAAATATTTGCATCATCATTGATAGAGGAAAGGGTATCCTATCGGCCTTGATATCGGAAGAAGTTGGTTGGGAACAAGATGGTTTGAACTCTGTTTATTGCATACGTCATCTAGCATCCAACTTCAACAACAAATTCAAAAATCACGACCTCAAAAAACAATTCATCAATTTAGGTACTACTACAAACATTCTTCATACATTTTTACTTTTATAATTTTGTTAACATTATTCTTTAATTTATTTATTCATTACGTCATTACAGCTTACAAGGTCAAGCAACCAACTGTGACGGCAAAACTTGCTGCATTGAGAAACCAATACCCACAACAAGTTGATTGGATAGATAAAATCCCATTACAAAAATGGTCTCAGGCTTTTGATGGAGGGAGAAGATATGGACATATGACGACTAATTTTGCTGAGTGCACCAACTCCATTTTAAAGGGAGCACGTTCATTACCAATATGTGCTCTCATCAGAACAACATTTGAGAGGACACAATCATGGTTTGTTGAACGCGTATTAAAGGCGAACTGTATGCTACAAGCAGGACACCAATTTCCTGAACAAATCGCCGACATCATTAGGAAAAATTAACAACAATCCGCATTTTATCATGTTCATCGCTACAATAGTGAAAATTCTGAATTTGATGTTCAGGAAGTTTCAACACCTCACCACTACCGCCCTGTTCCACTTTCCTACAAGGTCAGCCTAAATGAATGGTGGTGTGATTGTGGTCACTTCCAGGCTACTCGTCTCCCATGTCATCATGTCATTCATGTTTGTGCATTTTCGCATATCCCACTAACCCAAGTAATCGATCTAGTGTAGTCTTAACAACATTTCCAAGGCATACGAACTACAATTTCACCCTATCCAAAATCAAGATTATTGGTCTGCGTATACAGGTCCAAACTTCATACCAGATCCTAAAATGTGACGCAAGGCATCCGGAAGACCATCTTCAAATAGGCTTCATAATGAAATGGATCAATCCAATCCAGATAAGCCAAAAAAATGCTCTTACTACCGCAACGAAGGTCATCATAGGGGAAATTGTCCCTTTCATCATTAGTTTTTTCTTAATCTTACCCAATTGTAATCAAATCGATTATTGATATATTACTATTAATATTTATTTTCTCTTTTCGTATAACACAACCAATACATAACATATGTAAAATGCAAAATCATTTTCAAAAACCAACTAAAAACACACTGGTAATCGATTACAAGTACATCGTAATCGCTTACCAAAGTGGTTCTTGGACCACAAAAACACTGGTAATCGATTATAGAAGTCTCGTAATCGATTACTAGTACGTTTTCTGCCTACTCATTTGAAGTCGTGTAGGGGGGTCACGATTTCAACACTCTGTAATCGATTACCAGTACATTGTAATCGATTACAGCACCCAGAAGTCGTTTTTAGGTTGCACGACTTCAACACTGTACAAATGAACAGTGTGAAGTCGTGTAGGGGGGGCACGACTTCTTCATTTGAAGTCGTTTTGGGCCCCCACTACTTCACTTTGGGTCAAAATTTGCCCATTTTGGTAATATTGAAGGCATATTTGCCTAGTTTGGTGCAAAAATCGAATAACCATATATTCTCAACATCCAAAATGAAACCAAACAATGTATGCATTTACAACAACCCCAATTTTCGAAACATCCATGCTTAACCCTCCTTCATACAACCCAACACATAGAAACACAAATATTACAAGGAACATATAAGCATCATCATTTAACAATAACACCCACCCATCATACACCATTTTATATTCCAAAGTTACACCCCTTACCTTCATTCCACACTAGCTTCCAAGATTCTTTGGCTTGTTTCCTTCACTAAACTCCAAGCCTTCACTCCTCTAAGCTTCCTTCAAGTCATGTCCAAAAATCCAAGCACTAGAGTGACTTCCACTTTTGCTCTCAAAAGTGCCTCTCCAACTCCCTCCCACGGTTTTTCGGAATATACCCCATGATGGAGACTAGTCCCAGCTGGAAACAAGTAGGCAGAAGCTCCAAACCGAAAGAGACCAGCAGTGACTGAAGGTGCAGCGGATTGATGAAACAGTGTAGTGGTTTGAAGTGTTTTAATGGAGAAAAGGTGTATGGGTGAAGCCTCACAGCTCAGATGGCCTTCCTACAGAGGAAGGAAGCTTGAGGAAGGAAGAAAAAGTAGTAAATCAAAGGTGACTTAAGAGCACAAAAGCTGGAAAGCAAATTCTGCAGCATATCCTTAAGCTCAAAAGTGAGAAAATACAAAGAAGAGGGCCTCTTATTTATAGGTGAAGAGGAGCCTAATTTCTGATTTAATTCCCTCATAAATTCAAATTCTTTAGCATAGGAGGCACGTCCATTTTGATCCAGCAAGGTCCATGCCTCATTCTAGCTCAGCCAGCAAGGTGCATGATTCATTCCAAATCAGCCAAGTCACATGGATTGGTCTTCTCTCGGCTGAAAAATGTTTGTGCATTTCCATTCCGCAAGCACTTCCCCTTTTGGCTCCTTTGCTTTCCTTTATTGATTTAACTTCTTGGATGGCTCAATCATGGTCTACAAGCTTTATTAGTCGCTACAAAACAATGTATAAGTGCTTTATTTAAGAAAAGAATGATTTTTATAAGTAACATTCCATAGAATTAAAATGTTAGGTGATCCTTCTTCTTCTTGAATCTTCCTTGCCATGGCTCTAGTAAGAGGTCCAATGTGATTCCTTGATGGTCTGCCATCAGACCCTCCCTTTTGAAAAGGATCTGTCCTCATATCTACTTCATCCTGTTGATCATCTCCTATGAAAGGAATTAAATCGTAGATGTTAAAAGTAGGTCTGACACCATAACTTTCAGTAAGGTCTAATATGTATGCATTATCATTTATCCTTTTGACCACTTTGAAAGGACCATCTCCTCTTGGACTAAGTTTGGACTTTCGTTGAGAGGGAAATCTTTCCTTTCTCAAATGAAGCCAAACTAAGTCTCCTTCTTCAAAAACTATTTTCTTTCTCCCTTTGTTGTTATACTCTGCATATTTGTGGGTTTCTTTTTCAACTTGGGTTTTAGCTTTCTCATGTAATTTCTTGATAAACTCTGCTTTAGATACACCTTCTTTATGAAGAAAATAAGATGATTCTGGAAGAGGTAGTAAATCAAGAGGTGTAATAGAGTTAAAACCGTAAACAACCTCAAAAGGAGAAAGATTAGTAGTCTTGTGAACTACTCTATTATAAGAAAATTCAATATGAGGTAGATGATCATCCCAACTTTTATTATTACCTCTTAATATTACCCTTAACAAAGTAGATAGAGATATATTTACTACTCCAGTTTTCCCATCAGTTAGTGGGTGACATGTGGTAGAAAATAGAAGTTTAGTTCCCAACTTTTCCCATAAAGTTTTCCAAAAATGGCTTAGGAACTTAACATCTCTATCAGACACTATGGTTTTGGGTAAGCCATGCCATCTCACTATTTCTTTGAAGAAGAGTCTAGATATATAGCTAGCATCATCTACTTTGTGGCAGGGTATAAAATGTGCCATTTTACTAAAATGATCTACTACCACAAATATAGAATCATACCCCTTTTGAGTTCTTGGCAATCCTAGAACAAAATCCATGCTTATGTCCTCCCAAGGGGTATTAGCTATGGGAAGAGGTGTATAGAGTCCATGAGGCATAATTTTTGACTTAGCTTGTAAACAAGCTATGCATTTAGAACAATGTCTTTGAACATCTACTCTATGTGTGGCCAATAGAATTTACATTTCAAAATGTTTAGAGTTTTATCAACTCCATCATGGCGCATGAGTCCTCCTCCATGACTCTCTCTGATAAGAAGTTTACTAATGGATCCTTGGGGTATACAAAGTTTTCCTTTATTAAAAAGATAACCCTCAGAAAGATAGAATCCATCAAAAGGCTTCTTGAGACATGAAGAATAAGTGGATGCAAATGTTTCATCATTTTCATATAGTTCTCTTATATCATCAAATCCTAATATTTGTGAGCCTAGGGTTACTAATAAGTTACTAATAATGCATGTCTTCTAGATAAAGCATCTGCAACAACATTAGTATTTCCCTTTTTGTGTTTGATGACATAAGGAAATTGCTTCAGGTATTCCACCCACTTAGCATGTCTTTTGTTTAGCTTTGCTTGCCCTTTAATATACTTGAGAGATTCATGGTCAGTATGTATGATGAATTCTCGAATTACTAAATAATGCTCCCAAGTTTTTAAAGCTCTAATGAGGGCATATACTCTTTATCATAGGTAGGATAGTTTAAAGTAGGCCCCTAAGTTTTTCACTAAAGTAGGCTACGGGATGACCTTCTTGAATTAAAACAGCTCCTATCCCTATCCTAGATGCATCACATTCTAGTTCAAAGGCTTTGGAAAAATCAGGCAAGGCTAGAATAGGTGCATGAGTTAACTTATGTTTCAAGGTCTCAAAAGAGAAAGCTTGTTTATCACCCCAAAGAGAAGGAACATCTTTCTTGACTAGTTCAGTCAAAGGAGCAGCTAAGGACGAGAAGTCTTTTACAAATCTTCTATAAAAACTGGCTAATCCATGGAAACTTCTCACCTCTCCTACTGTTTTAGGGGTTGGCCATTCTTGTATAGCCTTGATCTTCTTAGGATCAACATGTACACCTTCTTTTCCAACTTTGAATCCAAGGAAAATTACACTTTCTTGACAAAAAGTACATTTATCAAAGTTGGCAAAGAGATTATCTTCTCTAAGAAGAAACAAGACTTGTTTAACATGGCTAAGGTGCTCTTGAAGACCTTGACTATAAATTAAGATGTCATCAAAGTAGACCACTACAAACCTCCATATGCATTCCCTAAGGACATGATTCATCAACCTCATGAATGTACTTGGAGCATTGGTCAAACCAAAGGGCATGACTAATCATTCATACAAACCAAACTTGGTCTTGAAAGCGGTTTTCCATTCATCTCCCTCTTGAATTCTTATTTNGTTTCAACACCTCACCACTACCGCCCTGTTCCACTTTCCTACAAGGTCAGCCTAAATGAATGGTGGTGTGATTGTGGTCACTTCCAGGCTACTCGTCTCCCATGTCATCATGTCATTGCTGTTTGTGCATTTTCGCATATCCCACTAACCCAAGTAATCGATCTAGTGTAGTCTTAACAACATTTCCAAGGCATACGAACTACAATTTCACCCTATCCAAAATCAAGATTATTGGTCTGCGTATACAGGTCCAAACTTCATACCAGATCCTAAAATGTGACGCAAGGCATCCGGAAGACCATCTTCAAATAGGCTTCATAATGAAATGGATCAATCCAATCCAGATAAGCCAAAAAAATGCTCTTACTACCGCAACGAAGGTCATCATAGGGGAAATTGTCCCTTTCATCATTAGTTTTTTCTTAATCTTACCCAATTGTAATCAAATCGATTATTGATATATTACTATTAATATTTATTTTCTCTTTTCGTATAACACAACCAATACATAACATATGTAAAATGCAAAATCATTTTCAAAAACCAACTAAAAACACACTGGTAATCGATTACAAGTACATCGTAATCGCTTACCAAAGT